TCAGGAAGAATCAGATACGCTGAACAGACCAATAACAAGCAGTGAGACTGAAATGGTAATTAAACAATTACCAATGGAAAAAGTCCAGGACGAGAGGGGTTCACAGCAGAATTCTACTAGACATTCAAAGAATTGGCACCAATCCTTTTGACAATATTCCACAAGACAGAGAAAGAGAGAACCCTCCATAATTCATTCATGAAGCTAGCATCACCCTAATACCCAAACCAGGAAATAACATAACCAAAAAAGGAAACTACAGACTGATATCCCTGATGAACATGGATGCTAAAATCCTTAACAAAATACTAGCTAACTAAATCCAACAACATATCAAAAAGATACTCCACCATGATCAAGTGGGTTTCACACTAGGGATGCAGGGATGGTTTTTTTTTTTTTTTTGAGACGGAGTTCCGCTCTTGTTACCCAGGCTGGAGTGCAATGGCGCGATCTCGGCTCACCGCAACCTCCGCCTCCTGGGTTCAGGCAATTCTCCTGCCTCAGCCTCCTGAGTAGCTGGGATTACAGGCACGCGCCACCATGCCCAGCTAATTTTTTGTATTTTTAGTAGAGACGGGGTTTCACCATGTTGACCAGGATGGTCTCGATCTCTCGACCTCGTGATCCACCCGCCTCGGCCTCCCAAAGTGCTGGGATTACAGGCTTGAGCCACTGCGCCCGGCCGAGATGGTTTAACATATGCAAGTTTTCTGATACCAGATAAATGTACACAAATCAGTAGTTCTATACACCAGTAGTGACAAAGTGGAGAATCAAATCAGTAACTCAAGCCCTTTTACAATAGCTGCAAAAAACAAACAAACAAAAACCACCTAACCAAGGAGTAGAAAGACCTCTACAGGGAAAAGTACAAAACAATGCTGAAAGAAATCATAGATGACTTCTTTGATTCTGCCCATGCTTGATGGGCAGAATCAATATTGTAAAAATAACCATAATGCCAAAAGCAATCTACAAATTCAATGCAATCCCCATCAAACACTACTATCATTCTTCACATAATTAGAAAAACAATTCTAAAATGCATATGGAATGAAAAAAGAGCCCACATAATCAAAGCAAGACTAAGCAAAAAGAACAAATCCGGAGGGATCACACTACGTGATTTCAAACTATACTCTATGGCCATAGTCACCAAAACAGCATGGTACCAGTATAAAAATAGGCACACAGACCAATGAAACAGAATAGAAACCCCATAAATAAACACAAATACTCACAGCCAACTGATCTTCAACAAAGCAAACAAAAACATGAAGTGGGGAAAGGACACCCTTTTCAACAAATGATGCTGGGATTACTGGCTAGCCACATGTAGGAGAATGAAACTGGATCTTCGTCTCTCACCTTATATAAAAGTCAACTCAAAATGGATTAAGGACTTAAATCTAAGAGCTGAAACTACAAAAAATTCTAGAAGACAACATTGGAAAAACTATTCTAGACATTGAAGCCTAAGCAGAAAGGATTTCATGACCAAGAATCCAAAAGCCAATGCAATAAAACAAAGATAAATAGTTGGGACTTAATTAAACTAAAGAGCTTTTGCATGAAAAAAGGAACAGTCAGCAGAGTCAACAAACAATCCCCAGAGTGGGAGAAAATCTTCACACTCTATACATCTGACAAAGGACTAATATCTACAATCTACAAAGAACTCAAACAAATCAGCAAGAAAAAAATAAAAAATTTCATCAAAAAGTAGGCTAAGGACATGAATAGACAATTCTCAAAAGAAGATATACAAATGGCCAACAAACATCTGAAAAAATGCTCAACCTCACTACTGATTAGGAAAATGCAAATTGAAACTACAATGTGATACCGCCTTACTCCTGGAAGAATGGCCATAATCAAAAAATCAAAAAATGGTAGATGTTGGTGTGGATGCGGTGATCAGGTAACACTTCTACACTGCTGGTGGAAATGTAAACTAGAACAGCCACTATGGAAAACATTGTGGAGATTCCTTAAAGCACTAAAAATACAACTACCATTTGATCCAGCAATCCCACTACTGGGTATCTACCCAGAGGAAAATAAGTCGTTATACGAAAAAGATATTTGCACACGCACATTTACAGCAGCACAACTCACAATTGCAAAATCGTGGAAGCAACCCAAATGCCCACCAATCAACGAGTGGATAAAGAAACCCTGGTATATATATATACACACATATATATATGATGGTATACTACTCAGACATAAAAAGGAGTGAATCAACAGCATTTGCAGTGACCTGGATGAGACTGGAGACTATTATTCTAAGTAAAGTAACTCAGGAATGAAAAACCAAATATTGTTACGTTCTTACTGATATGTGGGAGCTAAGCTATGAGGACACAAAGGCATCACAACGATACAATGAGAGTCGGGCATGGTGGCTCACACCTGTAATCCCAGCACTTTGGGAGGCCGAGGCAGGTGGATCACAGAGTCAGGAGATCAAGACCAGCCTGGCCAAGATGGTGAAACCCTTCCTCTACTAAAAAATACAAAAAATAGCTGGGCATGGTGGCATTCGCCTGTAATCCCAGCTACTGGAGAGGCTGATGTAGATAATTGTTTGAACCCAGGAAGCGGAGGCTGCAGTGAGCTGAGATCGCGCCACTGTACTCCAGCCTGGGTGACAGGGCAAAACTCTGTCTTAAAAAAAAAAAAAAAAAAGAAAAAGAAAAAGAAAGAAAGATACAATGGACTCTGGGGACTTGAGGTGAAGGATGGATGGGGGACGTGGGATAAAAGACTACAAATATGCTGCGTGTATATTGATTGGGTGATGAGTACACCAAAATCTCACAAATTACCACTAAAGAACTCATCTAACCAAATACCACCTGTTCCCAAATAACCGACGGAAAAAAATAAAAAAAAAATTGAAAATATAAAAATAACTGAGGCAAAGCATTATGACCAAAATGATAGTGCAATATTATTTTTAAAATATCAATTTTTAAATTTTGGTATTTCATTAACTTGTGATTATTGAGTGTTGGCTGAATTTCCTTGGTTATAAGCTGAAGAGGAATCAAATTTTACATCTCCTGAGTATACAATATCCTCTTCCCTCTTCAAATTTAAAACTTGCCTGTATTAGTTTGAAAAAAAAGAGGCAGGCCAGGTGCGGTGGCTCACGCCTGTAATCCCAGCACTTTGGGAGGCTGAGGCAGGTGGGTCACGAGGTCAAGAGATCGAGACCATCCTGGTCAACATGGTGAAACCCCGTCTCTACTAAAAATACAAAAATTAGCTGGGCATGGTGGCGCACGCCTGTAGTCCCAGCTACTCGGGAGGCTGAGGCAGGAGAATTGCTTGAACCCAGGAGGCGGAGGTTGTGGTGAGCCGAGATCGCGCCATTGCACTCCAGTCTGGGTAACAAGAGTGAAATTCCGGCCGGGCATGGTGGTTCAAGCTTGTAACCCCAGCACTTTGGGAGGCTGAGGCGGGTGGATCACGAGGTCAAGAGATCGAGACCATCCTGGTCAACATGGTGAAACCCCGTCTCTACTAAAAATACAAAAAATTAGCTGGGCATGGTGGCGTGTGCCTGTAATCCCAGCTATTCAGGAGGCTGAGGCAGGAGAATTGCCTGAACCCAGGAGGCGGAGGTTGCAGTGAGCCGAGATCGCACCATTGCACTCCAGCCTGGGTAACAAGAGTGAAACTCCGTCTCAAAAAAAAAAAAAAATATTCCATTTTAGGCCAGGTGCTGTGGCTCATGACTGTAATCCCAGCACTTTGGGAGGCCAAGGCGGGTGGATCACGAGGTCAAGAGATCAAGACCATCCTGGTCAACATGGTGAAACCCCGTCTCTACTAAAAATACAAAAATTAGCTGGGCATGGTGGCGCACGCCTGTAGTCCCAGCTACTCGGGAGGCTGAGGCAGGAGAATTGCTTGAACCCAGGAGGCGGAGGTTGTGGTGAGCCGAGATCGCGCCATTGCACTCCAGCCTGGGTAACAAGAGCGAAACTCCGGCCGGGCATGGTGGCTCAAGCCTGTAATCCCAGCACTTTGGGAGGCTGAGGCGGGTGGATCACGAGGTCAAGAGATCGAGACCATCCTGGTCAACATGGTGAAACCCCGTCTCTACTAAAAATACAAAAAATTAGCTGGGCATGGTGGCGTGTGCCTGTAATCCCAGCTATTCAGGAGGCTGAGGCAGGAGAATTGCCTGAACCCAGGAGGCGGAGGTTGCGGTAAGCCGAGATCGCGCCATTGCACTCCAGCCTGGGTAACAAGAGTGAAATTCCGTCTCAAAAAAAAAAAAAAAAAAAAAAAGACGTAACTGTTTTGTCATTTGTTCTGCTGCGAAACAACTGTGAAAACCAAAAGCAAACTTTCTAAGATACAAATGCATGCACTTTAAATTATTTTGGGTGAGTCACGCTTATAGAAAGCTCATATTAACATTAGATCTTTTGTTAAGCTCAAGCAATAGCCAGCACAGCATAAACGAAATTGCGGGGAAGATGGAAGAAGCAGCATATTAGAAAGGAGGATAATGAATTAAGAACTATGCAGAATTTAAAAACACAAATTTTGCAGTGTTTCATGCTGAATCGCATTCTCATGAGAGTTTATTTCCTTCTTGATATATATATGAATATGTTTAATTTGGTGTGCATTCAATAACTTTTCATGAGTAAATTCTAAGCACGCCAAGATTTTACTTGAATACTATGATAACGTCCTCTAAAATTTTTGAATGTTTCTTATTAATTCCTTCATCACCCCTTTAAATCAAAGGAGCTCTGAGAAACTTAGATGAAAATCTGGTTGCTTAACTGTTCAAGTAGTCCAGACATTAAGCAGTCCAGCTATATTAATAAAGAACAGTCTTAATTCATAAAACTGTACATTTTTCTTCTTTCTAGGAGTCTGAAAAAAAGAGTTTAGAATCCAGAGAAGAAGAAATTAGTAAATATTCACAAAATTAAAGATTCCTTTTTCCTTTTTTTTTTTCAACTTACTGTGCAATCTGGGAGTGGGATATTGTGAGCCTTTGGTCAGCACATTCAATGATTTCTTCATATGATGTAACCTGGAAAAAAATAAGCTAAACTAATTATTTTTCATTCTAGAGTTTTATTTTTTTTCCTTTTTTATTACTATAAGTTGAAGTTTAATTATTTGACTATTAATGAAAGTTTCACAATAGGCAAAACACCTTCCTTATATTTTGAAATTAGGAATACGAAAAAAAGAATTATAGCATGCCCATTCATCACGCAGAAAATGTGAAGTGCCAAAAAATGGACAACAGTAGTGAGTCAACTATAATCCAGTTGTCTTCCAAATAAGTACTATATTCATCAACTAAGGGTTATAGTTTATTTGGTTAAAGTTAATGCCGTTTTAATAAGGTAAACTAGAACACTAAGTTGGCAAGATTTAGAATTATCCTGAAAGTGAAGTAGCAATACTCAGATTTAAAATTACCAACAGCAGAATGAATAGACACACACGACAATCTTTGATGGCTTTCAGCTAAAAGGATAATGGAGGTGTTTTATAATGTCATTATGAAGTAAAAGGGATCAATATAAATGTGCTACATCATCCCATAGACCCTTTTTAGCTCTAAAATTCTATTAATATTTGGCATAGTTTTTAAAAGGCACAAATACTTCTGTAAGACAATCTGTACCAGGCCAGGATCAGCGTCTCAGGCCTACAATCCTAGGACTTTGGGAGGTTGAGGCAGGAGTAATGCTTGAGACCAGGAGGTTGAGACCAGCCTAGGCAATATACTGAGACCACATCGCCACAAAAAATTTAAAAAAAAATTAGCCAGGTGATGGCACATGCCTGTAATCCCAGCTACTCAGGAGACTGAGGCAGGTTGCTTGCTTGAGCCCAGGGGGTTGAGGCTGCAGTGAGCTATGACTGCACTGCACTGTACTTCGGCCTGGGTAACAGAGTGAGATCTTGTCTCAAAAACCAAAAGAAAAAAAGTATGTACCTTATTTATTAAGTTGCCTAAATGTCTTTGATACTTGTCATTTTCTTCAATGAGTCTGTTGCAGTGGTTTTCTTTTGACTCTAGGAGATGTTCCAATTTTGTGATCTATGGAGAAACATGTAAAAATACTAACCTGGAACCTGCTGTGAAAGCTACATATGGATGCCAAGAACAAATGAGAAAAGTGAGCAACACTTTATTCCAGTATTATCCTAAACCAAGTCAAACCGTAGGTGAAGCATGAGATGCTATGAACCAGATAATGGTTAGATTCCACTTAGAACAGATAAACAAAAATTATAATGGGGTTTTATCTTTTCTCTTTATACTATGAAAAGCTTTTCAAATAACTGAACACCTATTGGTACATACAAATATTTTCAGCCCCAAATCTTAATTCTTGTCTTACCATATACAGCCAATGCATAGACATATTTGATTCTATATGAAGTAAAGCATTGATGTTTTCAAGTTTGAGAAATACTCTCCCTTGCATAAATGACTGCAAGTTTTTAAAAAGGTTCAGCTTAGGGGCCGGGTGCGGTGGCTGACGCCTGTAATCCCAGCACTTCGGGAGGCCCATGCGGGCAGATCACAAGGTCAAGAAATCGAGACCACCCTGGCCAACATGGTGAATCTCTGTCTCTACTAAAAATACAAAAACATAGCCGGGCATGGTAGCATGTGCCTGTGGTCCCAGCTACTCGGGAGGCTGATGTGGAAGAATTGTTTGAACCCAGGAGGCGGAAGTTGCAGTGAGCCAAGACTGCGTCACTGTACTCCAGCTTGGCGATAGAGCAAGACTCCGTCTCAAAAAAAAAAAAAAAAAAAAAAAGGTTCGGCTTAATGTAGTTCATGTTCTGACCTACTGTCCAATTTTTATTTGTAAGAAAGCCATTAAAAGTGAAAAATTATGTGACATCTAAAATTATCAGGAAATGGTATTCACAAGTTCCCCTAGCAGTTACCTTAATTTTCAGAGCAGTTATAGAAGAAAAATTAGAAATTTTTCCATGAAATAACAATGTTAAATGACTTTCAATCAACTAATATTTTATTTTTTATTTTATTTATTTTTTTGAGATGGCGTCTCACTCTGTTCCCCAGGCTGGAGTACAGTAGAGTGGTCTGAGCTCACTGCAACCTCCACCTCTTAGGTTCAAGCGATTCTCCTGCCTCAGCCTCCTGAGTAGATGGTATTACAGGTGCATGCCATGATGACTGGCTAATTTTTGTGTTTTTAGTAGAGACCGGGGTTTCACCATGTTGGCCAGGCTGGTCTTGAACTCCCGACCTCAGGTGAGACTCCCACCTCAGCCTCCCAAAATGCTGGGATTACAGGCGTGAGCCACCATACCTGGCCTAATGTTTTAAATACATTTAAGTGTCTGTCAAGAAGAACCCTAGAGGAATCAATGGCAGAGCAAATTTGAGGCAGAAATAGCAACTTTCTTTCTCTTATATGAATAAACTAATGAGGACAAAATCAAATCAGTGGTCCTACTTCTCAAACAACATACATTATTTAAGGTACTTAATGCAGTTATTATTACCTCAATTTAACAGATGGAACCAAAGTAAAGAGCATGTAAAAGATTTTTGAGGTAGAAAATGCTAGAATCCATATTTCTCAGCTATTAATGTTGGCTCTTCTCATTGCATCTCCTCACTGGAGCGGGGAGTTCTACTCTTGGCTTCACATGCTTCATGGCACTTGACTGAAGCAATGTGGAATTCCTTCTCAGTTCCTGTTTTTCATTACAGACTTCATAGCACACTTTTAATTCTTTAATAGCTTTCAAGATCAAAGTAACAACCCTTTTAAGCTGCAGATTGATTTTTTAAAACTTGCTAACCTCAGATTAAAGAAAGAATAGCAAGGGGAAGATTCAAGATGGCCAAATAGGAACAGCTCTGGAGTGCAGCTCCCAGCAAGAACAACACAGAGGGTGAGTGCCCACCGCATTTCCAAACAAACTTTCACTGCCCACAGACCAGGAGAATCCCGGGCCGAAAAGCACCATGAGTTTTCAGCATGGCGGTTTCATCTGGTGCTGGGTTGGCTCATGGAAACTCACACAAATCTGGGCATGGTTTTAACTGGCACCTGGAACGCCTGAGAGACAGAACCACCCATTCAACTGATAGGGAGTGGGCAGAGACAGGGAGCCAGGTGACCTGGCTTAGTGGATAACACCCCCACAAAACAAGCAATCTGAAATGCTCTGGATTGAGAGTTTTGCAGCAAGTACAGCTGGACACAGGATAGTCCAGCTTAGTGGGAGGAAGGGTGACCACCATTACTGAGGCAGTTCACACAGCAGTGGGGCAGAGCCTGTGGCAGCTCAGTGACAACCCTGCTGGCAGACTGTGACTAGACTACTCTGTGCAGGGCAGGGCATCTATGAAAAAAGGCAGCAGCACAACAGGAACTTATAAATAAAGCTGATCTTCCTAGGACAGAGCACCTGGGAAAAAGGTTATGAGTTCAGCTGCAGCAGACTTAAAAGTACCTGCCCACAGCTCTACATAGAACAATGGAGCTCCCAGCATAGCACTTGAGCTCCTATAAGGGACACACTGTCTCCTCAAGCAGCTCCCCAACCTCGTATACCCAAAGAGACACCTCATAAAGGAAAGCTCAGACTGACATCTGGCAGGTACCCTTCTAGGACGAAGATAACAGAAGAAGAAACTGGCAGCAACCCTTACTGTTCTGCAGCCCCTGTGGGTGATCCCCAGGCAAGCAGGGTCTAGAGTGGACATGCAGCAGTCCTGCAGCAGAGTGGCCTGCCTGTTAGAAGGAAAACTAAGAAACAGAAAGAAAAAACTTCATCATCAACAAAAAGGACATCCACTCAGAGACCCCATCTGAAAGTCACCAACTACAAACACCACAGGTAGATAAATCCACAAAGATGGAAAGAAACCAGTGCAAAAAGGATGAAAACATGAAAAACCAGAACGCCTCTCCCCCTCCAAAGGATCACAACTCCTCACCAGCTAGAGATCAAGGACAGATGGAGAATGAATCTGATGAATTGACAGAAAAGGCGTCAGAAGGTGGGTAATAACAAACTTCTCAGAGCTAAAAGAACATGTGCTAACCCAATGCAAAGAAACTAAGAACCTAGAAAAAAGGTCAGATGAGATACTAACTAGGATAAACAGCTTAGAGAAGAATATAAACGACTCGACGGAACTGAAAAACACAGCATGAGAACTTCATGAAGCATAACAAGTTTCAATAGCTGAATTGACCAAGCAGAAGAAAGGATATCAGAGACTGAAGATTAACTCACTGACATAAAACAAGAAGACAAGAATAGAGAAAAAAGAGTAAAAAGAAACCAACAAAGCCTCCAAGAAATCTGGGATTATGTGAAAAGACCTAATCTACACTTGATAGGTGTACCTGAATTTGACAGAGAGAATGAATCCAAGCTGGAAAACACTCTTCAGGATATTATCCAGAAGAACTTCCCCAACCTAGCAAGCTAGGCCACCATTCAAGTCCAGGAAATACAGAGACCACCACAAAGATATGCCTCAAGAAGAGCAACCCCAAGGCACATAATCATCAGATTCACCAGGGTTGAAATCAGGGAAAAAATGCTAAGGGCAGCCAGAGAGAAAGGCTGGGTTACCCACAAAGGGAAGCCCATCAGACTCACAGCAGATCTCTCAGCAGAAACCCTACAAGCCAGAAGAGAGTGGGGGCTAATATTCAACATCCTTAAAGAAAAGAACTTTCAACCCAGAATCTCCTATCCAGCCAAACTAAGCTTCATAAGTGAAGGAAAAATAAAATCCTTTACAAACAAGCAAGTACTCAGAGATTTCATCACCACCAGGCCTGCTTTACAAGAGCTCCTGAAAGAGGCACTAAACATAGAAAGGAACAACCAGTACCAGCCACTCCAAAAACGTACCAATGACACAATGAAAAAAAATGCATCAACTAATGGGCAAAACATCCAGCTAGCATCAAAATGGCAGGATCAAATTCACATAACAATACTCACCTTAAATGTAAATGGGCTAAATGCCCCAATCAAAAGACACAGACTGGCAAATTGGATTAAAAGTAAAAACCGATTGGTGTGCTGTATTCAGGAAACCCATCTCATGTGCAAGGACACACATAGGCTCAAAATAAAGGGATGGAGGAAGATTTATCCAGCAAATGGAGAGCCAAAAAAAGCAAGAGTTGCAATCCTAGTCTGTTAAAATGGACTTTAAACCAACAAAGATCAAAAGAGACAAGAAGGGCATTACATATTGGTAAAAGGATCAATGCATCAAGAAGAGCTAATGATCCTAACTATATATACACCCAATAAAGGAGCACCCAGGTACATAAAGCAAGTTCTTAGTGACCTACTTTTTTTTGCATTTGCTGAAGAGTGATTTATTTCCAAGTATGTGGTCGATTTTAGAGTAGGTGTGATGTAGTGCTGAGTAGAATGTATATTCTGTGGATTTGGGGTGGAGAATTCTATAGATGTCTATTAGGTTTGCTTGGTCCAGATCTGAGTTCAAGTCCTGGATATCCTTGTTGTTTTCTGATTTGGGCTATTTATTATAAATAAAGCTACAAAGACCTCATACATCTTTGTATGAACATATGCTTTCACTCTCTCAGGTAAGTATCTTGGAGTAGGAGAGGCACAGTGTCTCATGCCTATAATCCTGTGCTTTGGGAGGTGGGAGGATTGCTTGAGCCCAGGAGTTTAAGGCTGGCCTAGGCAACACAGCAAGACTCCATCTCTACAAAAAAAAAAATTTTTTTTTTCATTGGCTAGGGCTGGTGATGTACACCTGTAGTCCCAGGTATTCTGGAGGGTGAGGAGGGAGACTGCAGTGAGCCAAGATTGTGCCTCTACACTTAAGCCTGGGTGACAGAGCCATACCCTATCTCTTAAGAACAATAACCAAAAAAGAAAAAAAAAAAAAACAAAAAAAAACTAGGAGTAGAATAATGGTAGGTGTGTGTTTAACTTTTAAAGCAACTGCCAAATGTTTTCCAAAGTGGTTGTACCATTTTACATCCCAACCAGTAGTGAATGAGAGTTGTATTTGCTCCATATTCTCTCCAAGCTTTGGTACAGTCAGTCTTTTTAATTTCAGATATTCTAGAAGGGGTGCAGTGGTATTCACTGTGGTTTTAACTTGCATCTTAATGATGCTATCTCTCCCATCTCTTCAGTACCTCCTTTCCTGTGTGGCCTGCCCATGTGTGCTGCAGCACAGAGCACAGACACAGACCCACAGAAGTGGTGATGGGCCTCACTGACTGCCTTGAAGATGTAGGTCCTAAGGTCAGGGATGAGTTAGGCAGAGGCTGAATGCCCACGTCAGGTCATGTCCACAGCAACAGACATTTGACACAATAGAGGAGGAAGTCCTCTTGGAGAGCTGCTACTACATGAGCAGTGTGGATGACAGCCACCAAGAGGCAGAGAAGCCAGAATGAGGTTCACTCAGTCCAGGTGGGACTGCTCAGTCATCAACCCTCCAGAGAAAGATATCCTGGGTTTGGTCCTCTCTGTATCCTGATTGGTGGACACAGTTCCAAGTTAGTAACATTTTAACGTATTAAGTTGCTTCAATATATTATGAGGCACTGAAATCCAAATCACTAAAAAATTTAGGTCAACACATCTTGTATTTACTTTCTGTTGCTGCTATCACAAATTATCACACACTTAGTGGCTTCACACAACACAAAGTCATTATCTTACAGTTCTGCAGGTGGGAAATCTGGCACAGGTGTCACTGGGCTAAAGTCAAAGTGTCAACAGGGCTATGTTCCTTTCTGGAGGCCTTAAGGGAGACTTTCTAGCTTCTAAAGGCTGCCTACATCTTTTGCTTAGGTCCCCTCTCTTCATATTCACAGCCAGCAAGTGTTGTACTGTGAATATTCTTTAGCAGTCAAATCTCCCTCTGACACGTCTGAGAAAGGTTCTCTACTTTGAAGAACTCGTGATTACATTGGACCAACCCTGATAATGCAGGATAATCTACTGGTGCATTGCAATGTCCTTGATTTAATCATATCTGCAAAGTCCATTTTGCCATGTTCTGGGGACTAGGGTGTGGAAATTTTTGGGGTTGCCATTATCCTGCTACCACACACCCGTTATGAGGATCACTGAGGCCTTCCATGATTTGAGATGCAGGTGGCCTGGTCATATGGCAAAGCCAGTGTATTTAGCTCTATCTAGGTCATAATTCAAGGTTTCCCAAGAGGCTTTTACTTACATTAACACACTTTCCTCATATAGGGTTGTCTTACATTCTGGTAGTGCCAACTTAGAAAGAAAGTATGTCAAGGTAGACACCAAAGCACAACTCAGTAAAAGCAACTCTGCGAGGGCCAAGATAGTATGCTCCAAGCAGTAGCTTTCAGATCATGAACATGATTCAGGTTATGACTCTTTTTTTTTTAGATGGAGTTTCGCTCTTGTTACCCAGGCTGGAGTGCAATGGTGCAATCTCGGCTCACTGCAACCTCTGCCTCCTGGGTTCAAGCAATTCTCCTGCCTCAGCCTCCTGAGTAGCTGGGATTACAGGCACGTGCCACCATGCCCAGCTCATTTTTTGTATTTTTTTTTTTTAGTAGAGATGGGTTTTCACCATGTTGACCAGGATGGTCTCGATCTCTCGACCTTGTGATCCACCCGCCTCAGCCTCCCAAAGTGCTGGGATTACAGGCTTGAGCCACCGCGCCCGGCCCTGATGACTCTTTCTTAAGTGGAAAAATGAATTTATGACCAACATAAAAAAATGAAATAGAACAGAACAAAACAGAATTTAAAAACCCAATGTTTCAGCTGTGTGTGTGTCTGCATATAAATATTTAATCAAGATGCAAAATGTATTTTTTTGCATATAAATATTTCATCAAGATGTAAAATGTATTTTTTCTTAAACTGAGTATTACTACTAGAGGAATGAAAAAACTGCAAAGATAATGCTTCAGAGATGCAGGAGCTCTTAAAAAAGCTCTTGCTAAGAGCTGGTCAGGAAATAGATTGATGTGATATCCTTCAGCAAGGTGCAGTAGTGCAAACATTGTTTCCCACACTTGCTTTAGAATGAAAATTAGGAACATCAGAACCAGGGAGGTGAGGAATAGGGTCAGAGTATTAGAAGAACTACTGTAAAATGCCAGGATGCTTTAGAGAACAAGAAAACAGATGGTAAGGTTGACATCTTCCTATGTAAACTAAAGATGTCAGATTCCATCTGGCTGGACAGCCCTTCCACCTGTCTGACCCAAGTTCTAGTGATGATCCTAGTCTCTTCCTTAGGAGACTGGTCAATGGCAGAGAGGCCGGCAAACTATAAAGTATACAAAACGCTTTTTGTCTTGAAAATTTTCACACAAGTCTAAAGAATAACATAATAAACCTCCATATTTCTATCACATAACTTCAACAACTATCCACATTTTCTATCCCTACTATGCCACCTTTTTGTTCTACTGGAATCCTTTACAGCACAACTTGTCATCATATTAATTCACTCATAAATACTTTTCAAAATGTAATAACTAACAGGCTGGACGCGGTGGCTCACACCTGTAATTCCAGCACTTTCAGAGGCCAAGGCAGGCAGATCACCCGAGCTCAGGAGTTCATGACTAGCTTGAAACCCTGCCTCTACTAAAAAACACAAAAATTAGCTAAGCATGGTGGCAGGTGCCTATAATTTCAGCTACTTAGGATTGTGACGCAGGAGAATCACTTGAACCTGAGGGGCAGAAGTTGCAGCGGGCCAAGATTGTGCCACTGCACTCCAGCCAGGGCAACAGAGGGAGATTCTGTCTCAAAAAACAAACAAATGTAATACTAACAGATAAGGATTTTAAAACACAATGATACCACTATCACATCTATTAAAATAAACGATAATTTCTTAATATTTCTTTTCTAGATTTCTTAGTAGCAGGTTTTTTGTTTTTTTTTTTTTTTTGAGACGGAGTTTCGCTCTTATTACCCAGGCTGGAGTGCAATGGCGCGATCTCGGCTCACCGCAACCTCCGCCTCCTGGGTTCAGGCAATTCTCCTGCCTCAGCCTCCTGAGTAGCTGGGATTACAGGCATGTGCCACCATGCCCAGCTAATTTTTTTTTGTATTTTTAGTAGAGACGGGGTTTCACCATGTTGACCAGGATGGTCTCGATCTCTCGACCTCGTGATCCACCCGCCTCGGCCTCCCAAAGTGCTGGGATTACAGGCGTGAGCCACCGCGCCCAGCCAGTAGCAGGTTTTATGTTTTGTTTCACTTTCTATCTCCTTAGTGATTAGCTTGTTTAATCTTTTCTGGGAAGTCAGTAATTGCTTCTCAAATGAAAAAAAAAAAATTAGAAAAGAGGAAAGCTTTGAACCTTCACATTATTAGACACTTTCTTTTCTATTAAAGGTGAATATATATCTAATGAATTTAGTAGAGAATGCTGCTTTTTAATCATCTAAAAAATATGATGGTAGACTTAGCTAATTAACTCCTATAAAAATTCATTATGTTAATTAGCCGTTTTCATTTTATGAGATCCAACTGAATTCCTAAATTGGTCTGTAACTATCTAGATTGTAAGATCACATTTTCATTTTCTTCTAACATATTTTTTCTATTTTATCTGCCTTTATCTTTACAATGCCATCTAAAGTAAACTATGAGTGTTAGTTCCTAAAGCATACCTTAAACATGGTTGTTGTACACAGCTATATGTAGCATATGCAACAGTATTACGTGTACTTCATCTACTATGAAAAAACAGCACGCATATTTTTATTTATGCATTTGGAAAGAAATAAATCTGGTTAAATAGAAGCGAGGTAGAAAAATATTTAAAATTTCAAAATCCAAAAACGCAAACTTCAATTCTATATTCTTGTGGGTAATGCCAATGTGTGACCATTTTAATAAGGCCAATTTTTTGAAGGATGATAATTTCTTAAACTTGTTAGTAAAATAATGCGGTGTATAAAAATAATAGTAAGGCAACAAAAGGTCTTCCTTACCAGGAAATCAAGCTCCTCATTTAGACTGTGGTACTTATCCAGTTTAGCTCCCAGCAAGGTAGGTACATCTCGGACACTCTTGGCTTCATCTGAATCACAGTCTGTCACCTGAGATTAAATATATGTCCTCTCACTTTCTTTTTATTTAATTTAATTTAATTTATTAATTTATTTATTTATTTTTCTTTTTGAGACGGAGTTTCGCTCTTGTTACCCAGGCTGGAGTGCAATGGCGCAATCTCGGCTCACCGCAACCTCCGCCTCCTGGGTTCAGGCAATTCTCCTGCCTCAGCCTCCTGAGTAGCTGGGATTACAGGCACGTGCCACCATGCCCAGCTAATTTTTTTGTATTTTTAGTAGAGACGGGGTTTCACCATGTTGACCAGGATGGTCTCGATCTCTTGACCTCGTGATCCACCCGCCTCGGCCTCCCAAAGTGCTGGGATTACAGGCTTGAGCCACCACGCCCAGCATGTCCTCTCACTTTCAGTAGTTTCATACTCCTTGGAATACTTGACAGTAAGTACTTTATTAGTCTAAAAATCAAAGAGATTACCAGTGGCTGGAATCATAAAACTGTAGAACTCAGAACTAGAAGGACTTCAACAAATTTACCAAAAGAACATAAATATCTGAAATTGTGTATTTTTGCGCTAAAGACAGTATATAGTAAATATTAAACTCACCTCAACAGCATGATCTTGAAATGATTTTTCATTAGCAATTAACTCTCTGAAGGTTGTGATTCTATCTTTATGTTTGAGTAGCTAAGAAAAGAAAAACATTTTGTATTTTAGAGAGGAAATACAACTATAATATTTATAATAAAATAATCAAACCATGCACAGTCTAACCTCTAGTCTTCAAAAAACATATGAAAAATATATTTTTACAGCTCTCATTAGGAAAAATTCACACAGAAGGTCTAAGACTCCTAGGCTTAGAGAGGCCTGCTGGCAAAGCTGCCCGTGACTAGCATTTGGAAAAGGGCTGTGGGAAGTTTTCCACCATTCTCTGATGTAAATGGCTTATGGTGCTTAACCTACTTGCCCAAAGCATTTCAGTTAAGCTGAGCATCTGCTTTCCTTCCAGGGGACTGGAATTTTCATACACACTAGGCAGAGGGTGCTTATGTGAACAGCTCCTGATAAAAACCTAGGGCACTGGATCTCTAAGAAGCCTCGCTGGTAGCTGACACTTCTGCATCTGTGGTTACAACTCATTGCTGGGGGGAATGAAATGCATCCCATGTAACTGTATGAGGACTCTTGGGAGACTGAGTCTCACTTCCTCTGGATGATGCTCCTGTGTCTTTCCCTTGGCTGATTTTGCTTTGTGCCCTTTGCTGTGCTAAGTCACAGCAGTGAGGACGACTCACAGTCCTTCAGCGAATCACCAAACCTGGGATGGTCTTGAGGTCTCCAAGGAGTTATCCTAACATACAACTGTTGTTACAGTCAGGCTATTAAAATTCTTCCTTAAAGAAAAAAAAAATGAGCCAAATCTAGGTGTAATTTATAATCATTTCTTATTTGTTCCTTCCGTATAATAATAATATCCAATATTCAAACTTCTCCAAAATGATTAGTGAAGTGTGGGGCACAAAATATTTTTTTTTTTTTTTGAGACGGAGTTTCACTCTTGTTACCCAGGCTGGAGTGCAATGGCACGATCTCGGCTCACCGCAACCTCCGCCTCCTGGGTTCAGGCAATTCTCCTGCCTCAGCCTCCTGAGTAGCTGGGATTACAGGCACGTGCCACCATGCCCAGCTAATTTTTGTACTTTTAGTAGAGACGGGGTTTCACCATGTTGACCAGGATGGTCTCGATCTCTTGACCTCGTGATCCACCCGCCTCGGCCTCCCAAAGTGCTGAGATTACAAGCTTGAGCCACCGCGCCCGGCCCACAAAATATTTTTTATTCTTGGTTAACAAAACTTTTCAATATTTAAAATAGAGAAAAAACTTTAATAAACCCCATGTAACTATCATTCAGTTTCAATAACTAGTAGCTAATGGTCAATGTCATTTATATCCTCAATCACTGCCCTCTTCCCTCCATTCCCCTTCATTGAATCAAACTGCAGACATCTTATCACCTGTCAGTACTTCAGTAATTACACAGAAATTAGCCAAAAGAATATAAATATCTGAAGTAAATATTTTTGAGTAAGCATTTTGAAGTAAATATATTTTGCCTTTTGTTGTTTTTGTTGTTTGTTTGAGACAGGGTTTTAGACTTGCCTCACTACAGCCTTGAACTCCCTGGGCTCAGGAGATCCTCACATCTCAGCCTCTGGAATAGCTGGGTGCCACCTGTGTCCTGGCTAATTTTTGTACTTTTTGTAGAGACGCAGTTTCCCCACGTTGTCCAGGCTGGTCTCAAACCCCTGGGCTCAGACCATCCACCTGCCTCAGCCTCCCAAAATTCTGGGATTACAGGCGTGAGCAACTGTGCCCAGCCTGAAATGTTATTTTTTGTAATATTCTCAGTTGGGCTTATTTTTGAAAGCTGTTTACAGAAGTGGAAGCCAGTCGTTTCTCTGCATGGCTGCGCTCATACCTTGGCCCTGTCCTCCACAGGCTGGCTAGGAGGCAGAGAGATTCCCCAGGAACCTCTGCAACATCAGACAAGTGCTACAGAACCGAATGTGTTATGATCCAAGATTCCAGGTTTGAATTTGTTTTGATTCCTTTAACCAGACAAAGTTGTCATTTCTGCATTCCTCTCAGATTCAAAATGGTACAATTCGACATCCTGTTATAACCTTCCCTATTTAATTCTCTTCATTTTATCTTTCAATCTCTAAACCACCACACTAAGAAGAGTAATTGAGGCCGGGTGTGGGGGCTCATGCCTGTAATCCCAGAACTTTGGGAGGCCAAGGCAGGTGGATCACCTGAGGTCAGGAGTTTGACATCAGCCTGGTCAACATGGTGAAACCCTGTCTACCAAAAATACAAAAATTAGCTGGACGTGGTGGCATGCACTGGTAATCCCAGCTACCTGGGAGGCCGAGGCAGGAGAATCTCTTGAACATGGAAGGTGGAGGCTGCGGTGAGCCAAGATCACATCATTGAACTCCAGCCTGGGTGACAGAGCAAGACTCTGTCTCAAAAGAAGAGCAAAGGAAAGGAAAGGAAAGAGAAGAGTAACTAAAGAAAATTCAAGAACCTCTGCCCTTACTCTTCACCCACCTGAGAAATAAAATTGTTTTCAATGTTTCTATTATTCCAAAGGATGGAGTTTGAAATTGAGATAAAAAAGTTAAACTAAACTACGCTTCAGGAATCAGCAGTACCATGCAAAAATGAAAAAAATTATCATACTAAATATTTTTAGGTGAATGAGATTTTCCAATAGAGACAAATAATAAAATAAGTCAAATGTTGAACATCTTCTCTCTTTAGTGAGGGGCACAGTAAAACCAATCTGGGCCCCCAAAATAATGTTTAAAATGATTCCAACTTTAAGAGTTACTTCTTCACTACTTTTAAACTATTTTTTCACTGAAAATAATATAATTTTTAGATGAAGAATAAATATAGTACCTCTTTATCTAAATTTTTCTTTTTAAGATGGAGACTCTTCAGTTTTTGCAGCATTGTATCACTAACCTTCTCACTCTCTTTGAAACGTTCAGCATCAGAGTTGGTGATGTCCTAAGGGTAAGAGTTACAGAAACTAGATGAAAAAGTTTTCAGAAAAGCTAAAATGAGGCCAAAAAATGCACGTGAAACAAAAAACCTTCCAATAAACAAGCAAATCCAAAGAGGTAAAATCATAGTATACTGCATTTTTCAATTACTCATCAGAAGGCATCTAACACAGGATTAGTATGGAAAGACTTTTTTTTTTTTTTTTTTTTTAGATGGTATTTCACTCTTTCACCTAGGCTGGAGTGCAGTGGTGCAATCTTGGCTCACTGCAACCTCCACCCTCTGAATTCAAGCGATTGCCTGCCTCAGCCTCCCAAGTAGCTGGGATTACAGGTGCCTACCACCACACCCGGCTAATTTTTGTATTTTTAGTAGAGATGGGGTTTTACCATGTTAGCCAGGCTGGTCTCAAACTCCTGACCTCAGGTGATCTACCTGCCTCAGCCTCCCAAAGTACTGGGATTACACGTGTGGGCCACTGCGGCTGGCCCAAGACTTCATATTGATTCTCACTTGTACATGTTATTATTGAAACAGACCGATACAGTTGCTGGGAAGCTAATATTAATCTATAATAACTATGCATGCTTACATATTAATACATACATTCCCTTCCTTAGTTTAGTCAGTTTACAAATTCAAATTTAAACAGATTGTTATACCTGACACCAGAACAATCAGACATCTCAACAGTACTAAAACTCTAGGTATTTTAAGGGTACCCTGAATGAGGGTACTTGTCCCAATATAACCTAGGGGTCAAAAGTGCATAGGTTGAGTTATGTGACTTAATCATATGTGAGACTTTGGACAAAAAAACCCAACTATTCTAACCCTTGGTTTGTTTCTCTGTGTTTAAAAAAAAAAAGCCTAAGAATACAAAGAATGATGTAAGGATTGAATGAGATAATACATGAAAATCAGGACAGGAAAGTTAAGTGCTCCCAAGAAAAGATCAGGAAATCAGTAAATACCTGATGAGTGCCCATTATGAAATTAAACCTATATTAGGTATTAGGCATGGCTAATATGCCTGGTTATATACAAGCCTCTGATCTTGAAGTCTTCTGTTCCAGTGGGGGTAGGAGGTACAGAATAAGGAAACAGAGAATATTTCCTTGGGGCAGGATGAGATCTAAGAAGGCTGGTGACATGCCTATCACTGAAAAGTCTGGAGAAAAGAAGCAACCGGCAAACAAGACTGTGAAAGAAAAGCAGCCAGCACAGAGACAGAGGAAACCCGAGCAAATACGGTGAATAAGCAAATGTCTACAGGGACAAGGTGGGGTGGAGAAGTTTGCAGCAAAGAATAATCTGTGCCATATCAAAATTCAAATACTATCAGCACCACAGGAAAGGTAAAACATTTTTTAAAAAAGATAAAAAATTTAAATATTAAAAAAACAAAATTTAGGTGGACATAGCCTGTGGGCTACCACTTTGTGATCTCTGTATAAAATGTTTGGTCCAGTTTCCAGCATGCAATACATACTAGTTTTCAATAAATTTTAGCTAGTATAAAACGGAAATAGGATTTGTGTTGGATCAAGAACATAACAAACCCACACCCCCAATTTCTGGCTCAGATGAGTGCATTTAAGATCTAAGAAATGTACAATAATAGAAGAGGAAGAAAGAGAGCTAGCCAGTTTGAGAATCTATTGAATGCATGTCTTTTATTTATTTATTTTTATTATTTTTTTTCAGATGGAGTCTCACTCTTGCCAGACTGGAATGCAGTGGCTTGATCCTGGTTCACTGCAACCTCCGACTCCTGGTTTCAAGTGATTCTCCTGCCTCGGCTTCCTGAGTAGCTAGGATTACAGGCACACACAATCACGCCTGGCTAATTTTTATATTTTTGGAGAGATGGGGTTTCACCATTTTGGCCAGGCTGGTCTTGAACTCCTGAACTCAGGTGATCCACCTGCCTCGACCTCCCAAAGTGCTGGGATTACAGGTGTGAGCCACCACACCTGGCCGTGCATGTTGTTTAATTTGTTATTTTCATTAAATGCAGTGTTTATAGGGTCTGAGGACAGCAGTATCATTCCCCCATCTTAAAGATGAGGAAACTGAGGTACAGGTTAGGTTACTTGGCCAAGTTACATAGCAAGGAAATGATGAAGCCAGCATCTCAACTCCTCTGACAGCATCTTCACTTTTTATTCTACTAATGTACACAACTCTACACTGCCCTTCCCCCACTCATAACCAAAAGCAATATTTTAGATTGGGCAAACAGTTCATTAATGTGAACAATCACTAATCACTAGGCACAGACTGACCCAGAGTACAAGACTACTGCTCTGGGAGGGCATCCCTGAAATGTGGGAAGTACTAAATAAAGGGGGTTCTCTTTATCTTATTACATTTTCTCTTTCTGTACACTTGTGAAAATTAGGTGTTCAAGAGAGATAAACAGAAAGAAGACATATGGGCAAAGAAGGGCTAACTGAATGGCTTAGGGGTCTGTATTTTATCTTCGATTCTTCATTTTTTTCTTCCACAACTTAATTCCTTTTTTCCTCTCTTTTAGTCCAACTCCAGTATTTATTCCTCCCCTACTAAAATATCTGATATATATGTTTTATTACCTGGCACGTAAGAAGTCCTACCATCAGAGCCAGAAGACTGTGCATTTTGGAGGCCAGCTGAGAAGATATTTTGTTATCTTCAGGATTCAGGCTCTTTTCTTCACAAGGTGAGCAATCCGGGAGCAGGTTAGACTGTGTCGTTTTTGTATCCTACAGGCACATAATTCATATTTGTCAAAATAAAGATGAAGAACCTGAAATATCTTTTAAGTAAAATGCTGAATGAATGAAACCCCACTTTTAAAAACACTGGGTGATAGTTCTCAAACTTTTTATCTTAGGTTCCCTTTAGAAATTAAAACTGAAGATATTTTAAAATATTTGCTTACTAATTCTTTTAAAGCAGCAATAAATCTATTATGCATAAATATAAATAACAATTTATTTATTGATTTTTGAGCCAGAGTCTCACCCTGTCGCACAGGTGGGAGTGCAGTAGTGGGAACATGGCTCACTGCAGCCTCAAATGCCTAGGCTCACATGATCCTCCCACCTCAGCCTCCCCAGTAGCTAAAACCACAGGTGCATGCCACCACACCAAGCTAATTTTTCAAATTTTTTGTAGAAGTGGGGTCTTGCCATGTTGTCCAGGCTGGTCTCAAACTCCTGGGCTCAAGCAATGTTCTTGTCTTGGTCTCCCAAGGTGCTAGGATTACAAGTATGAATCACAGTGCCCAACCAATAACCATTTTTAAATAAAACAATTACCACATTTTTTAAAACAAAAAAGTTAGTGAAGAGTGGCACTGTTTTATGTTTTTTGTAAATATTTTTAATGCTGGCTTAATTGAAGACAGCTGGATTCTCATATTTGCTTCACACATTCCATCAGTCGTGAGAGCAATTACATCATCACATATCATGTAGCTTCTGGAAAACTCCACTATACACTTGTGAAAAAATGAGAGTAAAAAAGGTAATGTCTTTTTTTTTTTTTTTTGAGATGGAGCTTCGCTCTTGTTACCCAGGCTGGAGTGCAATGGCGCGATCTCGGCTCACTGCAACCTCCGCCTCCTGGGTTCAGGCAATTCTCCTGCCTCAGCCTCCTGAGTAGCTCGGATTACAGGCATGTGCCACCATGCCCAGCTACTTTTTTGTATTTTTAGTAGAGACGGGGTTTCACCATATTGACCAGGATGGTCTTGATCTCTTGACCTCGTGATCCACCCGCCTCGGCCTCCCAAAGTGCTGGGATTACAGGCTTGAGCCACCGTGCCCGGCCGGTAATATCTTAATATTACCATAAAACTACTTTTGATTTCACAGATACTCCCAGACCATACTTAGAGAAAAGAGAACTAGAGTTCATGAAAAGCGAAACTATAAGCAGAGTAAATATGAATTAAGAGTGTTAGAGAAATTGGTCAAAATAAAATAAGGAACTTAAAAAAAAGCTCAAGAAGTAAAGTATATCCACGCCAAATTTCTGTACAATTAAACGAATTCATTCAGAGCTTACCAATTCAAAACTCATCATGATTTGGTTAGGAGCTCAAGTTAAGGGTGTGGTCCCAGGACCAGCAGCATCAACAACAATTGGGATCTTGCTAGAAATGCACATTCTCAGGCCCCACCCCAGACTACTGAATCGGAAAACTCTAGGGTAGAGCCAGCAATCTGTGTTTTAACAAACGTTTCAGGGAATTTTGTAGAATGCTCAAGTTTGAAAATCACTGGCTTAGATAATTCTCTTTTCTTAGATCTTAGAATTTTTTTTAATTTAGGAAAGAATATTTTCCTAAGCATCCTTAAAAACAATAGAATCATTTACTTGTAAATAACTTAAAATGATTATAGATTCATAAAAGAGGGTCCACTAAAGGCATCTTAAGGTAACATTAGCTCAGTTCAAGTTATTAAAACTAATACAAAAATAGACCAGGTGTGGTGTATCACGCTTGTAATCTCAGCACTTTGGGAGCCTGTGGCGGGTGGATTACCTGAGGTAGGTGTTTGAGACCAGCCTGGCCAACATGGTGAAATCCTGTCTCTACTAAAAATACAAAAACAATTGGCTGGGTGTGGTAGTGTACACCTATAATCCCAGCTACTGAGGAGGCTGAGGCAGGAGTACTGCTTGAACCTGGGAGGTGGAGGTTGCAGTGAGCAGAGATCATAACACCGCACTCCAGCCTGAGTGACAGAGTGAGACTCCATCTTAAAAAGTAAATAAATAAAACAAATACAAAAAATAAACTTACACTTTTTTCTAGTTCAGATTAGTCTTCTTTCCAAGTAGTCAGTTAATAAGATTTTACTATACATACTTTAAGGCAGGCCTACACAACTGAAATAGATGTGCTCTGTCTTGTGAAAATTATCACTTCCAGAATGTGTTTCCAGGTTTTTGGCTGCCAAAAAAGCCTTTTGAACTACATATAATAAAAGATTACTGCTTCTCCAAACATACTGATATGGTTCTGATGCTGTTCTTAAATGTATAAAACTAGTATATGATATAGGTTTTGTCTTATAAACTAAACATATTATTATATTATTTTGTTTTGTTGATGAATAGGACTGAGAGACAACCTAGAAAATCTTTTCTCACAGGTAACTGCTGGGGCTGGGTGTGGTGCCTTACACCTGTAATCCCAGCACTTTGGGAGGCTGAGACGGGTGGATCACTTGGGGTCATGAATTTGAGATCAGCCTGGCCAACATAGTGAAGCCCCATCTCTATTAAAAACACAAAATTCACCAAGCGTGGTGGCGCACGCCTGTAATCCCAGTTATTCAGGAGGCTGAAGCAAGAAAATCGCTTGAACCTGGGAGGCAGAGGTTGCAGTGGGCCAAGATCATGCCACTGCACTCCAGCCTGGGTGACAGCTATACTCTGTCTCAAAAAAAAAAAAGGGAAGTGCTGGGAGATGCTTCTGATGATTGGCAATGAGTACCCACAAAACCGCCATGTTAACTATCACCTCTACCAAAATAATCACAGAAGGCAGGAATAGTTGTTAATCTTGAGTATTCATGAACCAAAAGAAACTTCTTCAAACCTGTGCTGTTTCCGTACCTGTTTTTCTTTTCTTTTTTTTTTTTTTAAAACAGGATCTTGCTCTGTCACCCTGGCTGAAGTGCAATGGCACAATCATGGTTCACTGCAGCTTCAAGCTCCTGGGATCAGGAAGTCCTCCTGTCCCAGCCTCTTGAATAGATAGGACTATAGGTACATACCACCATGCATGGTAGACTGGCTGATTTAAAAAATTTTTTGTAGATATAAGGTCTATGTTGCCCAGGCTGGTGTCAAACTCTTAGCCTCAAGAGATCCTCCCACCTCAGTTTCCCAAAGAGCTGAGATCTGTTTCTTTAACAATTCTTTCTGCAAACAAATCTAAGTAAGTCTATGTCTAAACATACATCACTAGACCACTAGAAACTCTTGAGATTCCACAGTAGAGATTTAGAATGTGCATTGATACCTTGGTAATATCTGACTTCATTACTTCCTCTAATTGCTCTTTTAACTGAGTTGTATCATATTTAGGGACATAATTTTGCTCTTCACTCCTTGCAACCTGCTGTTTAAGTTTTGCATTCTCACTTTTTACTTCGTTGATTTGCTGCTGAAGTTTTACGTTCTTAGCTCTTTCATTTTCAGACATAAATTGCAAATTTTTAACTTGAGTGAGCAATTTCTCAAGTCTAGATTTTAGTTTCTGTCTTTCTTCCAGGTTTTCCTTTTCACGGTTCTGGAATTCCTCCTGCAAAGACAAGAACTCTTGTTCTCGGGTCTCTTTTTCTCGTTTCAGCAAGTCCAAAGCAGAAGCTGTGGCCTTTTCTAGTTCTTGTTTGAGTTGTTGCAGTCTCTCTACCTCTTCTTCTTTCTTGCTTAAGGCTTTGTCCATCTCTAAATACTGACTTAAAGATTTATTTTTTTGTTGCATTTCAGTCATGTACCTTTCCTGTAAACGCACATAATTAGCCTTGATCTTCTTAAATTGAAGCTGTAACATTTCCTTCTCATTTCTGGATTCCTGAAGATGTTTTTGGGTGTTAGCTAAAATCTCTTGCAAATTCTGCAATGTCTTTTTAGTATCATTCTTCTCCAGGATTATTTTGTATTTGTCTTCAATTAATTCTTCAACATTTTCCTTTAGCTTATTGATGACATCAACAAACACTTGTTGTTTGGTAATCTTCATCTGTAGTTCTTTAACTCTCTTCTCTAAATACAGATTACTACACTGGAGTTCTTGGATTCGCGCTTCCTGTTTTCTGTTAGTATGTTTTAATTTCCGCAAGACTTCATTTAAAGCCATGTCCTCTTCCAAAGGTTGTAAACTTTCAATGCTTTGCTCCATGTCAGGCACCTTGCAGTTCTCCTGAGATGTTTTACTCCTCCAGGAGATATCTGCCGGAGACCAAGTTGAGACAATTTCTGGCCTCTCCATACCCTCTGCTGTGACTTCCTTTTGGTGACTGACTGACATCTCAGAAATCTCCCCATAATTCTGTATTTCTTTTGAAGGAACTGAAGTCTGTAAATTACAGTAAACAAAGTAAGTGTGAATGAGTAGAAAAGCCATAAGCTTTCAAGTCAGATACAGCTGGCCTTGAATTGTATTAATAGATTCCCTGTTTGGTTTCCTCTGCAATAGTACCTACTTCCAATAATAATGCCTATTCCCAAAAAGTAATACCTATGTATTAATTGCTAAATGTTCATACAGCACCTAATAGCACAGCAGAGCACAGGCAGTAGGTAGATGACAGATAAATATCCCACTGACTTTGACAAAAGGAAGATTAAACTTTTATATTCTTACCATTTTCTATCAAGCAAACTTCTCTGCACATATATAAGATGTTCGACTTCAAATGAACTCAGACAAATAAATGTATCAAATACCTTACAGACTGCAAGGTCTCTTTCTTTACATGTTATTACTGGGCCAAAAGTTTAGATTTTTAGGGAGGAATGGTCTCTTTTGAATATTTTTTTATTCCACATTTAGACCATTACTTCATTATGCTGTGACTCTTAGGAACATTAGAATGGCAGAAGAACATGCCTCATGATTGACTTTATGCCCACAATATAGATTTTGGGGAAGTTTTTATAAAAAGACAATAGGCCAGGCTAGGTGGCTCACACCTGTAATCCCAGCACTTTGAAAGCCCAAGGCCGGTGGATCACCTGAGGTCAGGAGTTCAAGACCAGCCTCGCCAACATGGTGAAATCCTGTCTGTGCCCAAAATACAAAAATTAGCCAGGCATGGTGGCACATGCCTGTAATCCCAGCTACTCAGAAAGCTGAGTGAGGCAGGAGAATTGCTCAAACACAGGGGGTGGAGGTTGCAGTGAGCTAAGATCACACCACTGCACTCCAGCCTGGGTGACAGAGTGAGACTCTGTCTCGAAATAATAACAATAAATAAGAATTTTTAAAGACAGTACATTTTGGTAAGAAATGGTGAAATGAATATGACATTGAAAACCCAGGCTAGGCACAGTAATCCCAACACTTTGGGAGCCCAAGGTGAGAGAATCCCTTGAGGCCAGGAGTTCGAGACCAGCCTGGTTAATGTAGTGAGACCCTATCTCTACAAAAAACCTTTTAAAAATCAGTCGGGCATGCTGGCACATGCCTCCAGTCCTAGCTCCTTGGGAAGCTGAGGCAGAAGGATTGCTTGTGAGTGATCATCACACTGCTCTCCAGTCTGAGTAACAGAGCAAGACCTTGTATCTAAAAAAGATAAAAAATAAAAACCCAGCAAAAGGTATCTGTAGTGGTGCACTGTATAATTCTCTGGAATTTAGAGACAATGTTCTGCATTTTGTTTCTCAAATTCACTCTTCTGCAGAACCTTGAATCTTAATGGTTTTTCATTGTTATGGGATAAAGATAACTATCACTGAGACCTATAAGGCCCTGATATCTTGCTCTTGATATCTGCTATAGTTTAAATGGATCCCCTAAAGTGCAAGTGCCAGAATCTTAATCCCCAGTGTAACAGTGTTGGAAGAGGGGGCCTAGTAAGAAGTGAAAAAAAATGACTAAATGTTGTTATTGCAGAAGTGTGTTACTTATCACAAGTTAATTTGTTACAAAAGTGAGTTTGGCCTTCACTTGCTCCCTTGGTCTTACCCTCTTTTGCCCTTCCACCTCTCACCACGGAATGACAGCACACAGACCCTCACATGATGCTGGCACCATAGACCTGGACTCCAGAACTGTGAGCCAGATAAATTGCTATTCCTTATAAATTACCCAGTCTGTGATACAGTTGCAGCAGTAAGAAATGAACTAAAACAGTATCTGACCCACACCACCTCTCTGTCTTCATCTGCTATGCCCCTCCTGCTCCCTCCAACTCTGATATTCCTGGACTCAGGGCTTCCTTCGGGTCCTAGTGGGTACCATCCTTCCTGTGGCCAGAGGATTTGTAGACATTCTTCTGTATGGAATGATCTCCCACCCATAGCTGCCTAATTAACTCTTACTCATCTTTTAGAGCTCAGCTCAGTGATCATTTCTTCAGGAATGCCTTCCCCAGACTTCCTGATCAGGGTAGTTTTTTATCATAGATGCCCATCCTACTTATAACACTTACCATAGTTGCAAGTTGGTATGTAACTTTATATAGCATTATACCTGCTCTACATACACTTTATATGTAACTTTTATTCACAGAACTTATTGAACTTACCATAGTTGCAAGTTTATATTTATTTGTGGGATTATTTGATTAATGACTATTTCCTCTAGTAGGATGCTGTTTTCATCAGGACAAGAACTACACCTTTTTGTCTAACCATTACCTAACTAATACATAGTACAGACCTGGCATGTAACAGATGCCCAAAGGTATCTATTGATTGCATAAAAAATGGCTAAATGCAATGGAAAGAGGAAAGAACAATCTTGAGAAACCCTATTTAAGCTTATTTTTTAAATGTTGTTTTCCAGAAATCAACATGAACGAATAAAGTTCTTTTAAATGCTGTCATCTACTTTCAAAAAAAGAAAAAACTGCTCATACTTGTAAATAAAACATTACAGCCATAGCATTTCCCACCAAACTCACATTGAAAAGTTATTATTGGCCAGGTGTGGTAGCTCACACCTGTAATCCCAGAACTATGGGAGGCAAGGCAGGTGGATCACTTGAGGTCAGCAGTTCAAGACCAGCCTGGTCAACATGGTGAAACACCGTCTCTACTAAATATAAAAAAAAAAAAAAAATTAGCCAGGTATGATGGCACATGCCTGTAATCCCAGCTACTTGGGAGGCTGAGGCAGGAGAATTGTTTGAATCCAGGAAGTAGAGGTTGGTGTGAGCTGAGGATCATGCCACTGCTCTCTAGCCTGGACAACAAAGTGAGACTTCATCTCAAAAACAAAACAAAACAGCCGGGCGTGGTGGCTCCAGCCTGTAATCCCAGCACTTTGGGAGGCCGAGGCGGGTGGATCACGAGGTCAAGAGATCGAGACCATCCTGGTCAACATGATGAAACCCCGTCTCTACTAAAAATACAAAAAAAGTAGCTGGGCATGGTGGCGTGTGCCTGTAATCCCAGCTACTCAGGAGGCTGAGGCAGGAGAATTGCCTGAACCCAGGAGGCGGAGGTTACGGTGAGCCAACATCGCGCCATTGCACTCTAGCCTGGGTAACAAGAGCGAAACTCCATCTCAAAAAAAAAAAAAAAAAAAAAAAAAAGTACATAGAATATATAGTATTGGTATCTTCCTGGATTCAGGAAGTACAGAAAGTACATAGAATATATACTGTTGGTATCTTCAGTGCTCTTAGGATACTACATGTATGCTCAGAATCAATAAACCAAAGGATAAACTAGTATTTTCACTTTAACAGAAAAATTAATATTTTTGGTTGTCAACAGAAATCCAGTATGACAGAGAAATCTTGTTTTCTTGAAAAATTAATTAGTGCCTCTGCACTCCTTCCTCTTCTCAACCTTTCCATTACTGTAAACGCTGCTACTTCCAGCCAGTTTGATTCAACAAATACAAAAGCTTATTATATTCAGGCTGCTCTGTCTACACAGTAGCCATTCTTTTCTTTCTTTACCTCTCTAATAAAATTGCTTTCGATGAAAAAAATTATAGTGAAAAAAGCTTATTATATTCAAGGAACCATTCAGATGCAATGGTGCATAAAAGGGTGAGTAAGACAGAGTCCTGATCCTCAGAGAAATTACCATTTGGTAGAGCTAATCCTCAAGTATGAACTTGATTTTATTAGAAAAATTTATTTCTGAATTGGCTATCTCAGAATGCATTTTCGTTGGAGAAGCAAAGTCCCTTGTATTAACTAGGTGATTTAACACTACTGGAAAAAGTCTCAGATTTTATATATATATATATATATATATATATATATATATATATATATATATGTGTGTGTGTGTGTGTGTGTGTGTGTGTGTGTGTGTGTGTGTATACATTTAAAATTTTTTCATTCATTCATTCATTCATTTATTTTGAGACGAAGTCTCACTCTTGTTGCCTAGGCTGGAGTGCAGGAGTGCAGTGGCATGGTTTCTGCTCACTGTAACCTCTGCCTCCTGGATTCAAGCGATTATCATGCCTCAGCCTCCCGAGTAGCTGGGATTACAGACTCCTGCCACCAGGCTCGGCTAACTTTTTTTGTATTTTTAGTAGAGACAGGGTTTCCTCATGTTGGTCAGGCCGGTCTCGAACTCCTGACCTCAGGTGATCTGCCCCCCTCGGCCTCCCAAAGTGCTAGGATTACAGGTATGAGCCACCGCGCACAGCCTTATATATATATATATTTTAAATGTATCCTTTTAATACTCCATAGGCTTTACTGACCATCACAATCTTACTCCTCTGCTTTATAATTAACTTTCAGATGAACTAAAACTATTCTCTTTATAAAATGGCTTCACAATATTATCGTGTACACTTTCCTTATATAAGAAGCTTGGAGGTTGACTGGGGCTGAGGGCAGATTCCTTGGCAGTACTTTTAGCCAGTGACTTTTCCGTAAATTTCAGTGTCTCTCCACTGCAATGGATTAGAGGCGGGCTTCTAGGAGGAGGCTGTCTAAAATACTCATTACCAAGTTGGTCTGTATTTGCAGAAACACTAGTTTCCATTGGATTTTCTTCCTTAAATGAGTCTTGCTTTATATAGTTGTCTTTTGCATAATTATATACTTGACTTTGAAATTCTGGCTTCTCTGTCATTTCATCATCAAACGCTTCTACCCAGTGGTATTTGCAAACGGTTTCAAATTGTCTCAAGGAAGATATGCTGATAGTGTCAACTGGCTGAATTAGTATATTCTTTGAGTAATTTTCAATGTTGTTATCTCGTAAGAAAGAAAAAGAAGGAAATAAAAATGAGCAGACCATAAACTTGGGCAGTAACAGTTGTATTTATATTTATCAAATGAACTGCTGTAGCCACTTAGAAATATGTATCATTTCAACCTTACTTACTGTGTGGATTTTAGCATGGTTTTGTGCTAGCAAACAAAACAAAACGCTTTTTTTTTTTTTTGAGACGGAGTTTTGCTCTTGTTACTCAGGCTGGAGTGCAATGGCGCGATCTCAGCTCACCGCAACCTCTGCCTCCTGGGTTCAGGCAATTCTCCTGCCTCAGCCTCCTGAGTGGCTGCGATTACAGGCACGCGCCACCATGCCCAGCTAATTTTTTGTATTTTTAGTAGAGACGGGGTTTCACCATGTTGACCAGGATGGTCTCGATCTCTTGATCTCGTGATTCACCCGCCTCGGCCTCCCAAAGTGCTGGGATTACAGGTGTGAGCCACTGCGCCCGGCCCAAAACAACTTTTTACATGGGGGAAAGAAGTTCCCAAATGACTGCTACAACAAAGCTTGTTATATGTAATTCTGGTCAAATACAACACATTTCAAGACGTCTTCAAAATTCTTTTGTCGTAACTTTAAGATGTTTCAAATTATAAAATGTTTCAAAAGGACAGAGATAGTATAATAGAAAACACATATAAACTTGCTTAATCCCACAAAAATCCCAAGATGTCAGTACTGTTATTATCTCTATTTTACGGTTAGGAAACTGAAGTGTACGAGATGTTAAAGTCACTTGTCTAAGGTCACAGAGCTGAGATTCTAGACTACTACTTCTAAATGCTACACTATACTATTTTTGAATATGACAAATTATGCAGATTTATTTTTTTAAAATCAGAAGCGAATAAGAAAACAAAATGTTACAAATTAATGATCATTTTAATCTAACTTTCCTCCTCCCCAGAGACAACCACTGTACTGAAGCCCATATGTGTTCATTCGTCCCATTGTTGTTTTACTTTTACTACTTATGTATCCTAAATAATATAATCAACATAATCATTCCTAAAGAATAAAGTTCCCAGATTTCCTCATTTTGTGACACTTTAATGTCCCAGTACTTTTTTTCACTGTACAGATTTGGGGTTACATCAACACACATCTCTTTGAGACAGGGTCTCACTGTGGTTGCCCATGCTGGAGTGCAGTGGTGTGATTTGGCTCACTGTGGTCTCAGCCTCCTGGGATCAGGTGATTCTCCCACCTCAGCCTCCTGAGTAGCTAGGACTATAGGCACATGCCATGATGCCCGGAAAATTTTTTGTATTTTTTTTTTTTTTTTTTTGAGACGGAGTTTCGCTCTTGTTACCCAGGCTGGAGTGCAATGGCGCGATCTCGGCTCACCACAACCTCCGCCTCCTGGCAATTCTCCTGCCTCAGCCTCCTGAGTAGCTGGGATTACAGGCACGTGCCACCATGCCCAGCTAATTTTTTGTATTTTTAGTAGAGACGGGGTTTCGCCATGCTGACCAGGATGGTCTCGATCTCTTGACCTCCTGATCCACCCGCCTCGGCCTCCCAAAGTGCTGGGATTACAAGCTTGAGCCACCGCGCCCGGCCTAATTTTTTGTATTTTTAGTAGAGACAGGGTTCGTCATGTTGCCCAAGCTGGTCTCAAACTACTGGAATCAAGCAATCCTCTGCCTTGGCCTCCCAAAGTGCTGGGATCATAGGCGTGAACCACTGCACCTGGTCTTTTATTTTATTTATTTATTTTTTTGAGATGCAGTTTCGCTCTTTTTGCCCAGGCTGGAGTGCACTGGCACGATCTCAGCTCACTGCCTCTGCCTCCAGGGTTCAAGCGATTCTCCTGCCTTATCCTCTCGAGTAGCTGGGAATTACAGGCATGCGCCACCATGCCTGGCTAATTTTGCATTTTTAGTAGAGACAGGGTTTCTCCATGTTGGTCAGGCTGGTCTCAAACTCCCAACCTCAGGTGATCCACCTGCCTCGGCCTCTCAAAGTGCTGGGATTACAAGCATGAGTCACTGCAACTGGCGCCCCCTTTCTATTCAAGAGATAGGTTCTCCATTGCCCACTGGAGTGCAGTGACATGATCACAGTTTATAACAGCCTTGGACTTTCTGGCTCAAGCAATCCTCCCACCTAGCCTTCCAAAGCACTGGTATTATAGGTATGATCCACCACATCCAACTTCAACACACATTTAAAGATACTTGTATAGTAGAAAATTCTTGGCCGGGCGCGGTGGCTCAAGCCTGTAATCCCAGCACTTTGGGAGGCCGAGGCGGGTGGATCACGAGATCGAGAGATCGAGACCATCCTGGTCAACATGGTGAAACCCAGTCTCTATTAAAAATACAAAAAAACTAGCTGGGCGTGGTGGTGCATGCCTGTAATCCCAGCTACTTAGGAGGCTGAGGCAGGAGAATTGCCTGAGCCCAGGAGGCGGAGGTTGCGGTGAGCCGAGATCGCGCCATTGCACTCCAGCCTGGGTAACAAGAGCGAAACTCCGTCTCAAAAAAAAAAAAAAAAAAAAAAAAAATTCTTGTGTCTGAGACTGGGACTTGATCATGGCTCATTCATTTAAAGCTACACAATCCTGGGCAAGTTACTCTCTGAGTCTTATTTAAGTCATCTGTAAAATGAAGATTAAAAACAGCCCTTACTTCAATTTTTTTTTTTTTTTTTTTTTGAGACAGAGTTTCGCTCTTGTTACCCAGGCTGGAGTGCAATGGCGCGATCTCAGCTCACCGCAACCTCCGCCTCCTGGGTTCAGGCAATTCTCCTGCCTCAGCCTCCTGAGTAGCTGAGATTACAGGCACGCGCCACCATGCCCAGCTAATTTTTTGTATTTTTAGTAGAGACGGGGTTTCACCATGTTGACCAGGATGGTCTCGATCTCTTGACCTCGTGATCCACCCGCCTCAGCCTCCCAAAGTGCTGGGATTACAGGCTTGAGCCACCGTGCCCGGAGCCCTTACTTCAATTTTTAAAAATCTTTATTTCAATAAGATTGTTTGTGGATTAAGTGTGAGAATGTATATAAGGTACTTAGCACAATACCTGGCTATTGTTATTACCACAGATCATAAAAAAAGTTTTCAAACTTTTGCATATTGCTAACAAATAGATACTTACCGCCTAACAAATTGTCTTGTGTGCTATAAGCATCTTCACGAAGTGTGGATTTGTACTCATTTTCCCTTTCAAAATTCTCTATTTCATTCTGTATTAATAAAAAAGGTATTAATATTAATACTTTAAGCAAACATCATAAGCTTCTTCTAAAGGTATTTGCACATTGCTATGTAATTCTATTAGAATATTTCATTGTAATGAATGTGGTAGAATGTGCTTTCCAGTATCTTTCCCCACCGTATATTTGGCTCCCTTTTCGTAAAACTATGCTAACAGAGTCACAATATTAAACAAAAATGTCACATAGCTTGCTATTTTAAAATTTTGGTTTTTTGGTAAGTCAAATCATGTGACTATAAACTTAGGGATATGTGTTAGCATATTTTTCTTATTGATAATTCTTTGATGTTTATTAAATCTAGTCTAAACAGCATTAAGATCCTTGTTATTCCAGTCTATTAACACTGAAGATATATAAAACAGGCGTATTATAAATTCCTATTTAGTGGAATCACATGTCACTGACTATCAAATGTTTAGAACAACATTCATGAAGCTATTAGGATATTACAATCTTTTATTTTGTAAGAAAGGGAACTAGGCATTTTCATGAAGATAGAAAAGTTGTCATTTACATGCAGGGTGCTGTCAATGTCATTATGAGGGATAACTGAATCATTTGCCTCCTGACTTAAGTGGAAGACGCATCAGACTAGACGTCAGTTTCCTTGTGCTCTTGTCCTGGCTATGTAACTGAACTGCTGTGGTTATGTCCCCTGGCTGCACTCCTGGGACTTAGTGAGGTTAGAAAGGATTTTAACACCATGTGTAAAAATGTACCTTGCTCTGTCACCTAGGCTTGAGTACAGTGGCATGATCTCGGCTCACTGAAACCTCTGCCTCCTGGGTTCAAGCAATTCTCCTGCCTGGGCCTCCAGAGTAGCTGGGATTACAGGTGCTCGCTATCATACCCAGCTAATTTTTATATTTTTAGCAGAGATGGGGTCTTACCATTGTTGCCCAGGTTGGTCAAAATATATCTTACACCAGTGAAACTGGGAAAACCAGACCTTGTATTCCCCTGTTATGTGTCCACTGACAATTCTTTTATTGTTCCTTATATACCTGAAGAAGTTTTCATATGGAAGACAATGTGAATTCTGAATACATCTGAACCTCCTGGAACTTATAAGCAATGCATACCTGAGGCAAATCACAAGTGGTACTGGTGGTTTCCATACAGATGGGAGAATCTGAAAGCGTTAAGCCTTGAGAAAGATTGCTGACATTCATGGTATCTGATTCTGACATGCTATCCACTTCAAAATGTACAGGATCTGAAGGTGACACCCCAAATTTCTGATAGTCCTTGTTCATAACTGTTGAATAATAAAAGCCTTCCTTAAAAAAAAAAAAAGTATGCCTATTAGTATGTGCAAAAAAAAAGTTTTTTCCCTATCCGTCTTCTCATTAACAGAGTAGCAAAGTTTACTGCTGTTATTTAAAATGTCATCTGTCAAGTTATTAGAAAAATTAAAAACTTTAGTCTAAGCATACCATGAAAATTTAGTGTGGTAGAAAATACTAATTTGGAAAACAACAGTATTGGCTACTATCCAATAATTCCTTAAAAGGCTTTGGACCTAGAAGGTGAAGGAATCTCTATGTTACTTAATCAAAGGATATTTACAAAATATTATCAGAGACCTATTAGGTTCCACAAAATGCTGTATTTTGTTCACTTGATACCTTCCACTTGCACACCTCACCAGCAAGTCGAATCCAGCATTGTAAATCAGTTTTCCCTCCTCATGTTCCTACACTCTCAAGAACTTGTGTTTGAAAACTGGAGTTGTCTTGGCATCCCTCTACCTCATCATCCATGCCTCTTCAGATACCAAGTCTCATCCATTTCTCCTTTAAAAATGCCTTTCAGTGACCTGTGCTTGCTTTCCATCCCATGTTGCCACACCGGTCCACATTCTCCTGAGTCCCTCAGGCCTGTCTGGAGCAGAGAGTGGAAAAGATGGCCACTCACATTGAGTCTAACTTCTCCTGCTTGTCTTTCCAATCCATCCACAGCCTGCAGTGACATTACCTACCCAGTATTCCTCTGCTCAACTCAGATCAGGCTCATTTCCCTGCAGACAGACTATGTTCCTTACGACTTAAGCTTCAGTCATCTGCCCTAGCACGTCCTTCTCTCCTAAAACCTTCCCACCTACCCATTCATCTATTTTTTAAATTCCTACAATGTCTGCAGTCTCTAAATCTCTTACAATTCAGCACTTAGTGACTTCGTTTACTGTTTTAGAGCTTCACCACTGTTTCAAGGGTGTTAGTGCTTGTATTTACAGATCATAAATGCCTTGAGAGGAGTCAACTTGTGGCTTACCAATATCCACTACTGCAAATGGCTGAGTGCTGTCTACAGAGCAAATTATTGATTGAATCCGGCATTCTAATGATTTATTTCTATCAAGCTCTCTCAATTTATAGTCATGACTCATCTGCCTGGATTATTTTATTGAATTTCTGAATGGATAGTTTATTGAAAATTAGTTGTTTTCAAACCTAGGACATCACTCGGTAAAATGTAAAAAAGTAAGTCAAGCAGGTTAGGATCAGTGAAAGGCTCAACTTTATGCTCACCTTTTCTTTGTCTTTCAAATAATGCTGCCTGGATTGCGTTGAGATCTGAAAAATTCTTGCTTTGTTTGCCCAGTGCAAAAAAGCGCAAAGGCCTTGTTTCTTAGTTTTTTTTTTTCTTTGTGAACCTAGCACTTACATTTCTACAACTTTGTTCATCCCTCATATAGCACTGCACAATCTGCCAGTTTACCTTTTTAATTTAAAGTTAGGCTATTTTGGCTGGGCGCTTACGCCTGTAATCCCAGCACTTTGGGAGGCTGAGGCAGGTGGATCACCTGAGGACGGCAGTTCGAGACCAGCCTGATCAACACGGAAGATACCCGTCTCTACCAAAAATACAAAATTAGCTGGGCGTGGTGGCGGGCGCCTGTAATCTCGGGTACTCGGGAGGGCGAGGCAGGAGAATAGCTTGAACCCGGGAGGCGGAGGTTGCGGTGAGCCGAGATCACACCATTGCACTCCAGCCTGGGCAACAACAGCAAAACTCTGTTTTTTTTTTAAAAAAAAAAAAAAAAAGGCGATTTTTTTCTATTTTTCTATCTTTCATTTGTCCTTACCAGGTTTATAGTGGACTTTTAACATATTTATCAAATGTTTGTATAGATGTTCCAAAGACATTCTACAGCTGTTTTAAGATAGGCGTTACTGGCAAAACCCAGTTTTGTTTAAAAGTTTTTTCATCGTACAACAAACTTTACCTTTTTAAAAAGCACTTATACATTTTCACCTCAAAATGAGGCACCAAACTTTTCAACACACAGAAGTGTGCTCACTTCAGGATCCAGAGCTTCTTGGACGCACGCTACAGCCTCGGCGCTTCCTCCCTCTGCACCGGGTTTCGCGGGAGAGAGAACGCTTTCCAACCTCCTCCACCGGGGACTCTCACAAACTCGCAATCGGGCTCCCTGGGCGCTGGAACGCCCCAGTGTGACGTCCGCGCGCGCCGGCGGATCTCGGCGGGGACAGGCGCAGCCCGCGAGACCCGAGCGACCCCGGGTCCGTCTCCCTAGAGTGAAGTTAGGAGGGTACGACCCCCTAGGCCGAACACTGTGAGTTAGCTGGCGCCTCCTGCCGCAGTAAACACAAAATACAGTACACAAACGAAAACTTCGGGAAGAAACTGCCAGCACCGGCCTCGCAGTGCCGGCTACTCAACAAGCCTACCTCGGAGCGTGGAGCGTCCACGGAGCCCACACAACGTCCCATTCAGAGTTCGGAACTCGCCGCCCGGCTCAGGGGCGGGACTTCCGCTCAAGTCAGACTTCCGGGCGGGGCGGGGCTTCCGGTCGGGGAGCCAGGGCGGCTTGGCGGCGGCGTAACTGTAGGTCAGGTTTTCCCGTCGCACATGGTGGCTACTGTTGGCTTCTGAATGATTTGTAAGGCGGAGATCCACGCCGAAGCCGTTGGATCGGTCGCGGGTACATCCGTCTGAGCCGTTTCTGTCCCAGTGCAGAGCGGCGGCCTCCGGCGGCGCCTTTCAATCATGGACTACCGGCGGCTGCTTATGAGCAGGGTGGTCCCGGGGCAGTTCGACGACGCGGACTCCTCCGACAGGTAGGCGACCGTACAGTGCACTGGGTCTGGTTACTGCTGTCTCCTTGTCCGCCCCCGTGGGCAGTGGACTCCTGTGTGTGGTTTAGAGGAAGACTAGCGGTTCATCACTCAGCGTCTTGACAACATTTTGCCTGTGTCTGCATCCCAGCCGGATCTTTTTCCCAGTTCATCGCAGAGTTAGTGAAAGCTACTTGTCAAGGGAGTCTGCGGTTCCCAGGTTGGTTGGTTAGCGTCACTGGGAGGCAGAACTGGGGATAGCGATTAGGAAACACAGGTGTTTGCGTTTTAACCACATGTAGCGTTCAATAAATACTTAATATGTATCACGTTCTGTCCTGGGCGCGGGAGATAGTGATGAATAAGACGAACCAAGTTCGTGATGTCCTGGAACTTTGCCTTCTACATGAAAGGGAGGGCACACCATTTAAAAACCAAATAACGAGGCCGGGCGCGGTGGCTCAAGCCTGTAATCCCAGCACTTTGGGAGGCCGAGGCGGGTGGATCACGAGGTCGAGAGATCGAGACCATCCTGGTCAACATGGTGAAACCCCGTCTCTACTAAAAGTGCAAAAAATTAGCTGGGCATGGTGGCACGTGCCTGTAATCCCAGCTACTCAGGAGGCTGAGGCAGGAGAATTGCCTGAGCCCAGGAGGCGGAGGTTGCGGTGAGCCGAGATCGCGCCATTGCACTCCAGCCTGGGTAACAAGGGCGAAACTCCGTCTCAAAAAAAAAAAAAAAAAAACAAAAAAACAAAAAACCAAATAACGATTAGACTATGCAAATCGTTTGATATACTAAGTGCTGACTGAATGGGTAGGGAAAGGTTAAGTCCAGATTTTAATGACAAAGAGCTAATCTTGGCAAGAGCAGAGGGAACTATATTTCACACAGAAGGGACAGCAAGAGCAAAGGCCCCAAGGCCAGAGTGCCTAGAGCGCAGAGAAGGTAGTTGAGAAGATTGGTAGGGTGTTGATAGAGAAGTAAGAAGGGGGCCAGATCATGGAGACCCTTACAAGCGATGGTGAAAAGTTCAGATATTAATCTGGGTCTTATGGAAAGCCATAGGAGGGATTTTAGCAGAATGATGACATTATTTGATTTGCGATTTAAAGGAAGAATCATTCTTCTATGTAGATGATGTTCATGGAGGGCGGGAGTGAAGCAGACCAGTTCAAAGTAATAAGGTAATCAGATTCAAAATGGTGGGGACTAGAGCTCGGATCCTAAAGATATGTTTTGGAGGTAGAAGTGGCAGGGTTTGGTGGTAGTTTGGACGTGGGGTCTGGGGAAAAGAGGAATGAAGGATAACTCCTGCCTACAAGCAAAATGAAACATATTGGAGTTATTTTGGAATTCCAAGAAAACTGTTTGTACTTTATGTTTACAGTGAGGATTCATTACATGTAGATTTTATGGATTATTGGGGATGTTTTTAATAAACATATGTATGTTGACTGCTTTCTGTGTGTCAGATCTAGTCTTGGGTGGCAGGGAGACGTTGGTAAACACCATCCTGCATGACCCAGAGCTTGCATCCTGGCAGGGGAAACCGAAATTATTAAATAATTAGACAAATTTTGTATTAGAATTTGGGTAAGTAATACAAAAGAGAAGTGGGTGAAAAATAAGGACGGCTTCCTTAAGCAAGTGATAGTGAGCTGATACTTGAAGGATGAGTAGGGGCTAGCCAGAGAAAGGGGAAGGGCATTCCACTTTTATGGTTCCGGAGAAGTGTACAGAAAGCCTTAGGGAAGAAGTTAAGCAGCAGAAGAAACACAGCCAGCACAGCTGGTGGGTAGTTAATGGTAATAAGAGGGCGCTAATTTACCATCCACCCCAGGGTATTGTAAGGATGCACCAGTGATTTTCCATCAGGGAAGATGTTGCATCCCGACTTCTATCCAGGGGCTTTTGGCAATTTCGGGAGACATTTTTATTTGTCACAGCTGGGGGCTGTGGTGCATTAGTGGCATCTGGTAGGTAGAGGCCAGAAGTTTGCTGCTAAACATCCTACAGTACAGAAGACAGTCTCCCACAATGAAGAATTATCTGGCAAAGTTATAACTTTAACATGCCTCTCTAGGCAATTATACTATCAATCTATGAAGCATATGTATGAAGTCCTGGTAAATAGCAAGTGTTTAATGATTATCTGTTCTCTTCTTCCATGTGTCCATGGGGAGCCCTCGGAGCCACGGCTAATTAATAAATTGGGATTGATAATCTGAATTTACTTAAACTCATGTCTGTTTTTCAGCTGGTAGCTCATATTATCAGCTGCTTTTTTAATGGTTTCTGTCCTTATTCTGTACAGGAGAGGTCAAAACTGATAGTTCCCTGTTGAATTTGGCCTGCAGACATGTTGTGTTTGGTATGCAGTTATTTGTAAAAATTGACTATGCCAGTTAAGGGATAGATTTTACACAGAAGTCCAGACTTCTAGCTTCTCTTGAAAAATTAAAATCTGGTAACACTAGGCCTGAATCCTCATATGGCCAAAAAAAAAAAAAAAAAAAAAAAAAGAAAGTCCTTGCTAGTTGTGCTCCCTTTACCCTAGACCTCTTTCCCCAGTTTGCCAGTGCCCGCTTCTATCGTGCAGCCTGCTTCACTCATTTATAGTGCCTGGCCTCTGTATTCACCATTTCTTCCCGTCACGAACAAGGATGATTTGGAATTCTTCGTGGAACATGAAGCTTGATGTAACTTTTTTCTTTTCTTTTTTTTTTTTTTTTGAGACGGAGTTTCACTCTTGTTACCCAGGCTGGAGTGCAATGGCGCGATCTCGGCTCACCGCAACCTCCGCCTCCTGGGTTCAGGCAATTCTCCTGCCTCAGCCTCCTAAGTAGCTGGGATTACAGGCATGCGCCACCACGCCCAGCTAATTTTTTGTATTTTTAGTAGAGACGGGGTTTCACCGTGTTGACCAGGATGGTCTCGATCTCTTGACCTCGTGATCCACCTGCCTCAGCCTCCCAAAGTGCTGGGATTACAGGCGCGAGCCACCGTGCCCGGCCGATGTGACTTCTTTTGTTGCAAAGTGTTACCGAGTTCAAAGTAAGGCTGCCTTAGACTTACTCCCAAATTTTTCGTCAGAAAGCTTTTTTTTTTTTTTTTTTAAAGAGACAGAGTCTCACTCTGTTGCCCAGGCTGGAGTACAGCGGCACAATCATGGCTCACTGTAGCCGTGAACACCCGGGCTCAAGCGAATCCTATGGCCTCAGCCTCCCAACTATCTGGGATAAAAAGTTCGAGCCACGGCACCAGCCTTTTTTCCCCCCTGTCTTTTTTTTTTTTTTTTTTTTTTTTTTTTTTTTTTTTTTTTTACCTTTTACAGAAAAATTTTCCTCTTCTTAAAGCAGCTCTGTGAATGATTTTCCTAGAGTCAAGTCTGGTATACCGGCCTGTGTTGTTTATTTAGCAGAGAAGACAACAATGTAAATTCTAACTTCACTAAGGCAGAACCAGATTTAACACGTGATGTGCTTCTTGACTAGTAGGATTTGGGCATGGAGAATGAGCAAACAACTGCAACAGAACGGGAAAACAGGAGACGTGGTTTTAAGAAGATGGAGCTTGGCCGGGCGCGGTGGCTCAAGCCTGTAATCCCAGCACTTTGGGAGGCCGAGGCGGGTGGATCACGAGGTCAAGAGATCGAGACCATCCTGGTCAACATGGTGAAACCCCGTCTCTACTAAAGATACAAAAAAGTAGCTGGGCATAATGGCACATGCCTGTAATCCGAGCTACTCAGGAGGCTGAGGCAGGAGAATTGCCTGAACCCAGGAGGTGGAGGTTGCGGTAAGCCGAGATCGCGCCGTTGCACCCCAGCCTGGGTAACAAGAGCGAAACTCCATCTCAAAAAAAAAAAAAAAAAAAAAAAAAAGAAGATGCAAGGTGTATTGTATATAAATATATAATCTATTTTGGCTTTATCAATATTTTAAACTCTTACATCATAAGTAATTAAATACGTGAGTTCTGTTAGGGTATGTGTAAATTCTGTTTTGAAATAATGAAACATTATTACTTCTAGTGAAAACAGAGACTTGAAGACAGTCAAAGGGAAGGATGACCTTCTGTTTGAAGACCTTCAAGACAATGTGAATGAGAATGGTGAAGCTGAAATAGAAGATGAGGAGGAGGAGGAGGGTTATGATGATGATGATGATTGGGACTGGGATGAAGGAGTTGGAAAACTTACTAAGGGTTATGACTGGAATGGAGGAAGCAACCCACAGGTATTTTATAAAGGATTCTGCACATCCTTATATAATCTGCTTATGTCGTCTTTTTTAAAAGGCTGCTTTGTGATTCTGGAATTGAATAACTAAAATATTTTCTTCATGTTATCTTGTCCTGTAGCTTCAGCCTTTACTGATTTTCACTTTTCATCCTTTCTATATTTCTGATAATTTCTTGGGTGTGGATTCTTTCCAGAATCTATAAATTTAAAAAGAGTTTTTTAAGGTTTCATGAGATTGTGAGCTTGAAATCTGCATGGGAAAGGGCATGAATTGGCAGTTTACTACAAATGATTGGGAACCATGGTAAAAAAGTTTAGCCTCATTAGTAATTAAAGAAATGCAAATTCAATTTGTAGAGATGCCATTTTTTTCACCTATGAAACTGTTAAAGACAAAATATATCATT